GCTTCTGTTTAGTGATGCATTATATTAGATTGAGACAAGTTCCTTCTATACATATTTTTTTTTAATCATAAATTCATGTTGGCGTTTGTCAAAGGTTTTTTTCTGCATCTATTGAAATGATCACGTGATTTTTATCTCTGCTTCTGTTTAGTGATGCATTATATTTGTTGGTTTGCAGATGTTGAACCAATCTTGCATCTCTAGGATGAAGACTACTTGGTCATGACGTATGATCTTTTTGATGATTTGTTGCATTCTGTTTGTGGGTATCTTGTTGAGGATTTTTGTGTTTATGTTCATGAAAGAGATTGGCCTATAGTTCTGTTTTTCAGTTGGGGTTTTTTTTTAGAATTACATTTCAATAATTTTATTGAAAGGTGTTCAGTTGAGTTCTTGTCTGGTTTTGGAATCAGGATAATGCTGGCTCCCAAGAATGCCTTTGAAAGTACTTTTTTTCTTTTAATTTCACTAAAAGTGTTTGAGGAGTACTGGCATTAGATCTTCCCTAAAGTTCTTGTAGAATTCAGCAGTGAATCCACCAGGTCCTGGGCTCTTCTTGGTTGATAGGGCTTTATTACTGCTTCAATTTCATTGCCTGTTATTGGATTGTTTGGGATTTTTATATTTTCTTGGTCCAGTTTCGGTAATTTGTATGTAACTAGGAATTCATTCATTTCTTCTGGATTCTCCAATTTATTGGAGTACAGGTCCTCAGTTAGTTTCTAAAAATCTGGATTTTGGCAGTGCCCCTTGTGATTACACCTTTTTCCATTTCTGATTGCATTGATTTGGCTTTTTTCTTTTCTTTGTTGATAATATTGGCTAAGGATTTTTCTATTTTGTTTATTTTTTCAAGAACAAACACTTCAATTTATTGATTATTTGTATTACAGTTTTTTAGTTTCTGCTCTGCTCTTTATAATTTCCTTCCTAGCTTTGGATTTGGATTGTCCTTGTTTTCACAGGAACCTGAAGTGCGTCATTTGGTTATTTATTTGGGCTTGCTCTGTTTTTTTTTATCTGAGCATTCACAGCTATAAACTTCTCTCTTGGGACTATTTTCACTGTGTCCCATAGGTTCTGGTAGTTGTACTGACATTATTGTTGTTTGAATCTAGGAATTGTTTAATTTCTTCATTGATTTCTTCTGTGACTCATTGATTATTAAAGTGTGGTCTATGTTGGGGAAAGTTCCACATGTTTCTGAGAAGAGTGTGTATTCTGTCGTTGAATGGAACACTGTAGATAGCTATTAAATCCTCTTTATTGAAGGTTTGGTTCAACTCTATTCCTTTGCTGATATTGTGTCTAGTTCATCTGTCTATTTGAAACAAGGGGGTATTGAGGTCCCCCACTCTAATCGTGTTGCTGTTTATCTGATCTTTTATATCCCATAGCATTTGTGGGTATGCTGGTGTTTGGTGCCTATATCTTATAATTGTTATCACTTCCTGTGGAACTGATCCCCTTAACTAATATGTAGTGATTTTTAACTCTTCTGATCAGTTACTCCTGCATGTTTTCCAGTTCCCATTGAAAGGAATATTGTTTCCCATTCTTTGATTTTTAGTCTATGAATGTCTTTTTGGATTAAATATGTGTTTTAGTTGTTGTTGTTTTGTTTGGTTTTGGTTTTTTTGAGACAGAGTCTCACTATGTAGTTGAGACTGACCTGGAACTCACTATGTAGCCCAGGCTGGTCTCCAATGCACAGCAATCCTCCTGCCTCAGCCTCCCAAGTGCTGGGATTATAGGTGTGAGCCACCACGCCCAGCAGCCATGAATTTCTTAAAGTGCCCTTCGTCATAGAAAGATTTTATTTCTCCATCAATTTGAAAGACATTTTTGCAGGATATATTATTCTGGTGGGATTTTTTTTTTCTTTTAGGACTTGAATACTTTACTCCAAGCTTCTTGGCCTTTAAAGTTTGTGTTGAGAAGTCTGCTGGGCTTATCTCTATAAGTGATGTTTTTTTCTTTTCTCTAACAGTTTTTAAGATTCTGTCCTTGTGTCTGACATCTGGAGTTTTGATCACAATGTGTTGTGGAGAAATTCTCTTCTGATCTTTGGCTATATAGAATACCTCATTTATCTGTATGTTAAATTCTTGTCACATAAGTCTTAGTCACTTCCTCATTGCTGGGACAAAAACACTCACCACCCATAAGTTAAAGAAGGAAAGGTTTATTTTAGTTCACAGTTTGTAGAGGTTTAGGTCCATAGCCATTTGGCTCCAAAGCAGAGTGGCCTAGCAGAGGGACATAGCAGAGGAGAAACAGTTTATGGTGGGCAGGAGAAAAAAGCAGCAGCAATGAGCCTTCCTTTCTCTTTTTATCCTCTTCTGTTTGATGCCACTCACACCCAGGGTGGGTTTTCTGTTTTAAGTAAATTCATTTGGCTGCGCCCAGGACCCCCATGATAATCCAATCAACAGACCAATCCAGTTATCATATGCCCATGATGCAGTCACCTCCACCTGGGAGCACACGAGGATTTCAGAGCCTTTTAGATATAAACCATAATTGGAAAGTTTTCTATTACTTCTGTAAACAGCCCTATCTTCCAGTTCTGACACTCTTTTCTCACATTAGTAACTTCTGTTATCTTTTAAAAAAAATTTTTTTTTTAGACAGGGTCTCACTATGTAGTTGTGACTGCTCTGGAACTCCCTGTGTAGCCCAGGCTGGTCTCGAACTCACAGCGATCCTCCTGTCTCAGCTTCCCAAGTGCTGGGATTCCAGGCGTGCACCACCACACCCGGGGAATTTATTTTATTTTCTCCCATTCACCCTCTCAAGCCCCCTCCTTATGTAGAGAAGCTTTGTTTCAATTTTCCCTTCTACTTTCACTTTTTTCTTGTCCCTTTCTTCCTTTCCCCCTCCCTCTTCCCTTGTTCCCCTTCCCATTTGAGCACTTTCTTCCCATTTGCCACATCCATTATACATTTTAATCCTTATTTCCATTTTCAGTTTCTCACACCAGACAATCTGGTATTCAAACATGTGTGTCCAATTTATTTCACTTAAGAATATGGGCTTAAGGTCCATTCATTTAGCTATAAATGTCTGGAGCCCACCCTTCTTCGTGGCAGAGTAGGACTCCATAGTATAAAAAAACACATCTGCTTTACCCACTTCTCTGTTGTTGTCCATACTTTTAATAAAATAATTAATCTCCTGGACTTCTGTTTGGTATCTTTTCAGGGATTCTAATCCTTTGCTAAACTGGTCATTCATGTCTTGGGTCATTTTGTTTAGCTCAGCTAGCTTTTTTATTAGTGTCTTCCACAAACTCACTGATCATTTTGTTTCTTAAGTCTATTATCTGTTTAGTTGCATCTTATGTGAGGTCACTGAGCATCTTATTAATCTGCTTTTTATCTCCTCTTTTGTCATTTTGAATAATTCAGCTGTGTGGTTTTTGATTTCCTGCCCCATGGGTCTGCTTTGGGGAGTTTGGGATTTTCTGGAAGTATTTTACTGCTTTGTCTTCTCATGTTTCTATTTTTTTTATGCTAAAGTTCGGGGGTCATTATATTAGAAAGACTGTGTTGCTAATACAGAAATCTCTTTAGTTAGTGTCTGCTTTTCAGTGACGCTCTCTGAGATCCAAGCTCCTCTGTTAATTTGGGAGGGGAAAGTGCAGTGTAATTGACCTAACACCAGTTTTGCAGGAATGAACCACAGTATTGGTTGTAGTGACACAAAAATAATCCAGATATTGGCATTCAGAGAAAACCAATTAATAGTGGCAACTATGCCATTCTGGCAATAGCAACAAAATCAGCAACAATAACAGAGTAAAAAACTCAACACTGACATATCCTAGAACCAATAGTGCACCACCCTTCATCATAGAAAAGAGATCTTTCATTATAATATAAACATAAGGACAAACCAAATATTGACATACAGTAAATATATACTAAATGCAACAACTATACCTTCGCTAACAATAGAAAAGAAGCACAGCTGTAATCCTAGCACTCAGGAGGCTGAGGCAGGAGGATCTCAAGGAGTTCAAGGCCAGCCACGGTTATATAGTGAGCTCCTGTCTCAAAAAAAGAAAAACAAAAAAGCAATAGAAAAGAATTCAACAATAAGCCGGGCATGGTGGCTCGCACCTGTAATCCCAGCCCTCGGGAGGCTGAGACAGGAGGATCGCTGAGTTTGAGACCAGCCTGGGCTACATAGCAAGTTCCAGGTCAGTCTCAACTACATAGTGAGACCCTGTCTCAAAAACAAACAAACAAACAAAGATTTCAACAATAATAGCAGACTTAACTAAATATCTAAAGATTAATAAGGCTTACTGGTTATACCAGTAAAGATAGAGTGGAAAGTGGATTGGGAGAATGAAAGAAGTAAAACTTGAAAAATAAAGAAAAGAAATATGAGAAAAGAGAAAAGCGAGATAAACAATTCTACTAAGGAGTGAAAGGACATTAAAATAATTAGATAAAAGTAACAGAAAAGAAAAAGAAGAGAAAAACTGAAAAAGGAAAGTAAAGCACCACAGAATCAATGAAGAAAAGAAAAGACAGGAAATGTGTCCAAAAATTCCTCTGTGCTTTTAAACATTATCCTTTCCCCATCCCTGATACCAGGGATCGAACTCAGGACCTTGCGCTTGGCAGAAAGGTGCAGTGCACTCCCCCAGCCCTCCTCTGTGTCTTTGAATAAGTCTTTTCCTTTCACCATCTGCAGCTTTGGAAACCAGCAGATGTATGGAGGGACAGTGACTCACTGCGAAGACCTGTTCTGTTCCCACACTTAGCGTTTTTTGTGTGAACGCTGAATGCTGCCCCGCCTCCCCTGCTCACATGGCTGTCAATGGCGTCTGCCTTGAGGCCGGCAACACTCACTCTGGCAGCTCCCAGTTTCCGTGACCCTCTGCATATCCCCAAGTCACAGTTTTCTCTCTCTAGCTTTCAGCCTGTGGGTTTGTGAGGTGCCCCCATCCCTGCTCCAGAGCCCCCTGTGCCTGTATAGCCAGGGCCATGGCAACCATCCAAATGCAGCTGTATCCTCGCTTACGTTGGTGGGTGGAGGCAGCAAACAGACCACCGAGTTCTGTGCTGGATGTAAGCGGTGTGCAGGTGTCAGGCAGTCTGCTAGACTCAGTGCCAGCAGTTGCAGACCCAGTCCCTTCTGTAAGCCACACACGCCTGGCCTGGCTTCTCACCCTGGAGTTTGAGACTCCCACATCCCTTTCTAGTCCGAGTTTAAACTTCTTAGGGGGCTGTGTGGCAGCCCAGTCCCTGTGGCAGGATGACACCAGAAACCCAGGAATAGAGCTGCTGTGCAGTTGCTCAGGGCTCAGTCCCAAATACTTTTCTCCAAATGGCTCAAATGATGAAATCCGTTCAAATGTGTCAGGCACTGCCCTGAACTTCCACCTCAACTCCAGCCTTGCAGAGGGAGCCACGTTCAGAGTACGATATCATGCTGTCTTTGCAGTGTCTTTGTGTCTCTCCTTAGAGCCACCCTCTCTCTCTGGACCTACCCTGCATCGGTGGAGGCAGCTACCCCTCCAGGAGCTGAGGCAAGCCTTCCGGACTGCTCCGTTCCGTTCTCTGCACTGTTCTCCATCTTTGCAGCTTCGCTGTTCCCAGTCTTCCTGTCAGCTCCTTCCCGACGACGCCTGGAGCTTCATCTCCTCCCTCCTCTTCACCAAATTGTTGTTTTGACTCTAGACCCCGGAAGACAACCCTAGTCTCTACTAATCTCTACTAGTCTCCACTCCATCATTTTGAGTTTCCTCCTTTTTATTCCTGATGATATTTTTGGAGATGCAAAAGTTTTAAAATTTGAAGTGCAATTTGTTTCTTTGTTGTTGTTACTGCCCATGCTTTTCTTGTCATGTCCAGGAAATCACTGCCAAAGCCAATGTCATTAAACTTCACCTCTTTTTTCTAAACATTTTTATAGTTTTTTTGTTTTTTTGTTTTTTTTTTGCTCTTGTTGCATTTTGAGTAATTTTTGTATTTGGCGTAATGACGGACTTGTATTTTAGATGTGTGCATGTGTGTGCCCGTGCTGGACTTGACCCCAGGGCCTCACACATGCTAAACAAGTGCTCTGCCACTGAGCTCCCGATAGAGGAGTGCTGTACAATTAGACGGGCTGCCTCCATTTTTCCCCCATAGAATGTTTTGTTTTGGAAATGTAAGTTTGTGTTGCTGGGCTTCTGCCCAACGTATCAAAATGGTTTGGGACTGTTTGAACTGTGTGACCTTTCAGGAATATTCTGTTAAGCTCTGCCCCCTCTCTGAATGCTCTGTAACTCTGCCCCTCTGCTTCATTGAGCATGCTCACAAGACATGCGTTTCAGAAATGTTTGTTCTGTAACTCCACACCCCTACTTCGCAGAGCATGCTCACTTACCCTGTAGACCTCTATATAAGGAGGCTCTCATTTCCAGTAGAGCACTCAGACTTCTCTGAGCCCACTGGGGCTTGACGGTGTAATAAAAGGTTTTTCTCCACCTCTTGAACTGACCGTCTTATTCTTCAGAGAATGACAGCTGTGACCCAGAGCCACCACACTGAGCTGTAAAGCTCAGCTGTGCCTTCCAAGCTGTGGCATTTGGCTGCAACACTGACCTGTAACACTTAGCCACGCCTCCGAGCAGTGGCACTGAGCTGCGACACTGAGCTGTAACACTCGGCTGTAGCACAGAGCCGCCCTGCTCTGCCACAACACTACAATCCCAGCCCGGAAGTCCCTTTCCTATAGCTGAGAACTGTCCTTCCCGAGTGTGGGTTGCTCTGTTCATTGTGCCTGTTGGTTAGCACAGGGATGGAACTAGCTGTGTGATTGGGAGCAGATTCTTCAGTCTCACTCTGCCTCTGTCGTCCAGTCTGAAAATGGATGTCGATCACAGTACCTCATGGATTTGTTGTATGGATTCTAGGTCCCGGGAATGCTCAGCCCGAATTTATTTATTTGTTTCATTTTCTCAGAACCGGGAGTCAAACTCAGGACCTTGCACTTGCAAGGAAGGCATGGTGCCACTGAGCCCCATCTCCCTCCCTCTTGTATGGATTCTTTTTCTTTTTATTTAGTTTATTGGTACAATCTAGGTATACAATAGTTACATTCATTATTGGGATCCTGTACCTTTACATAATAGGTCTTATTTTTTCCCCTTGTCCCTGCCCTCCCTTCACCCCCTTCTCCCCTCCCCATTTACAAACATTTTATTTCCATTTTTTCAATTTCTCATATTTTTTCCCCTCCCTTGTTACCTTTCCCCCACCTTTCCCACTTTCCCTACACCTTTAGTGCTTTACTTCCTATTTCACATTATTAATTATCTCATTAGGATCCTGTGTACTATTATAGTTTTTCACACCAGAGAAAAAATTCGGTATTTCAGTTAAAGAAATCTCTGTATGAACATCAAAAATAGGGAATCCTAAAATAAAACTAAAAAGGAAAGTAAAAGAGAAAAGGCAATGATGTAAGATTAAAATAATCCTTAATTCTGAAATGAAAATGGTCCCTGAACATATTTAAATTGCTTCTTGCTCTTGTAGTCTTATCTTATTCTTTTTTCATTATTTAGAGAATACTTTATTAGTTTCTGTAATCAAACCCATGCAGATATGACCTTACATATTTAATACAGTGCGTTACCCCTGTACAAATGTACAAAAAAAAAAATTGTTTTTAATTAAAAAATTAACATTTCTATACCAATATGGCTGTCCATTTCTGTACAATGCCAACTCAACACAATAA